ACACTCATCCTAGATGTATTGGGTTAACACACTCACCCGAGATGATTATCGCATATTGAGACGATGACCTCTGCATCTCTTGTATAATCCTCACGAACTCTGATGTAGCCTTCTTTCATTTTTTGTCTTAGAAACACTGATAACTGAAATTGAAACAAATCTGATCAAATCGTGTTGTAAGGTCATTTAAAATTCTTCTTTAGAAATTATATACATTGTATATATTCACTTTTCCAAATATATTTTTTCTGTCTGTTTCTTGAATAACAATGTACATGATTTAGCTTGTCTTTAATTAAAATTGAACCTGATATCATCACACATCTATTTCAATAAAATCATATCTATATTTCATCCAGATGATGTTCTGATTAATAGCTCGATCATCAAATAAAACCAATAACCGTAGATTTTTGTTCCAGGAAATAGCTAAAATATACTATAATTATAATGTCGTGTTTACCTACCTTCTTATAACTGGACTTTTTGATGTCTAAGCTTTTTCCTGTTGGACTGTCAAAATAGAATTCAGAATCAATACATTTCAGTGAGAAAAAGCTGTTTTAATTTAGAATTATTTTACTTAAAAAAAGATTTCTAGCAGTAACTAGACAGCCGTGTTTGAGTACATCCACTGTTTATAATGTTTGATATATTAATGAAAATATACAAAGCAAAAAAGGGTTTAGTGGAAATTGCTGTAAACATTTGAAAGCGCAATACTATGTATTTTGAATGACATCATGAGAAAGAAATTAGGATTCCAAAATCAAGTTTTCTGTTGATAAACCTTGTATCAGAAATTATTTTGAAGATTATGCAGTACTGATGTAATACAAGGATTCCACAGGAGTGGATGTGTCGCCTGCTCAGCGCTTTTAGTGAGAAAAGTGTTTTGGCTTGAGTTATCGCGCAAACAAGCAAAAATTAACAGCAAAAACGATGAACAGTGTTGCTATATGCCAAGTGTGATATGCCAAAACGCGGAAAGTTGAAACTGGACAGTATATTGAACATTATTGCTTCTAGCATTATCATACAAAATTTGAAAGGAATTGATTAAAAAATAAAACAAGAGGCCCATGGGCCTAAACGGTCACATGAGTCCTACAGTATTTATTTTTGTTGTTGAAATATGTACCAATTCGAGTACAAAATAGTTAAGTATAACGTTAACTTAAGTTTGTCAGGACCATGAGCTGATCATTCCTAGACCGAGTTTCAGTTAAAAGTTTCAGTTCAATCGGCCCAGTAGAACTTGACTTTAAGTTTGAAATAGTTTTTCAAAATGGCGGCAGTGTCGGCAATATTGGATTTCTGATCGACCCGAATAATAACAACACTTTGTCAGGACCATAAGTCGATCATTCCTAAAAAGTTTCAGTTCAATTGGCCAAGTAGAACTTTACTTTAAGTTTGAAATAGTTTTTCAAAATGGCTGCCGTGGCGGCCATATTGGATTTCTGATAGACCCGAAAAATAACAACACTTGGTGAGGGAGATGTCAGTAACCTTCCCATGAAATATTAATGAAATCCCTTTGCCAGTATTTCAGCTAAAGTTGAAAATGTAAAATGTTAACGGACCATGGACGATGGACGACGACGGACGAAGACGGATAGCAATAGGTCACTTGAGCTAAAGCTCAGGTGACCTAAAAAGTTCTTGCATTTACTATGCAATGCCCTTATTTGGCAATAAAAGGTGCATAACTCCACCAAAAATAGATGTAGACTTCTGAAATGCAATTTGGTTCGAGCTATGTAAATATGCAATATTTATACCAAGTTTGAGTTCAGTCAACCCAGGAAACCTTGTTTCGGACGATGCAACCAACGCCGACGATGCCCACAAAGTAATACCTATATGTCACCTCAGCAGGCGACACAATAAATGAGGACCATGTACACGCGGAAGATTGCAATAAAGCAGAATGTCTCAATAATCACTTTACTGGTACTTCTACATCCTCTACTACACCTGGTCTAGAACCTCCTGATGTAAATCATTTGGCTTAACATGCATTTCGTCCTCAATAAATATCAAGCATTTATCCTTCTTTCAACAAACTTGGTGACACTTGGTTAATTCATACAAAGAGTCTAGCTTATCCTCCCCACATGTGAATATTTAGGTCACATGTGAACCATCATATGTCGCGCAGATACTGTATAGTTGGTCATTTTCATGGCAGTGTTATCCTTGCGCTAATCCTGAAAGGATTCTTTCAGGGTCAAAGAAAATACCTCAGGATTACCACAGAAATAGAGCACAGCAAAAATATGTAGAAATGTTTTACGGCGTTAAAATATCATGGACCAACCTTTCTGTTAATTTAACACTCGGCAAATATTAATTTCGTGACGAAAACATGAAGATATACCAGCACAAATTCAAAGCTGTATAGAGTAGTTTAATCAGGTTTATTTACAGTCTACAGTACACTGACATTGTGAACGGCACACAATTATGTGACGTCATCAACAGCAGATGTGGGGCGGAGTTAAAAAAGGTTTATGCAAATTTCAGGCTGTTGGCTGTTATTGAACTGACCACACATTGATATGTTATGAAAAAGAAACCTGTCTCTGCTGATCAGATTAATGAATAAAATAGCAATGAATTCGAACAATTCACAGAAAAATAATGTAATTTTAAGGAATAGTTTTCTATTTGGATAGGTTATGAGATGATAGCTCGGGTTGACTGTTGAGCACGAGTAAATTTATACAATAGATGACTTCACCATCTATTTAGTTTACAAGTGCTCAACTTGGCATATCATCCGACATGACATCTATTACCAAAATAAAAAGCTATGCATTAAATACTTACATTATTTCGCACAAACTTTAATGTAGCACCTTGAGAACAACCTACACATCCGCAATATTAATGAACATGCTTTTAATACCTCATGAACAACCTACATATGGACACCCCTGATAAACATACCCTGTAAATCCTGAACATTCTACAGCCTCACATGTATCTACACCCTATATACTCATGACTTGTACTTACAGATATAACTGTCCCACTCTTGATTTGTGCCTGTATAAATATGGTGAGAATACTCATAATTCACCATGCTTTGACCCAGATATGTATCACAAAAAAAAACTTATCTTGTGAGGACACCCAACAACAGATCTGACATTGTTGTGGCATACCGGTATCTCGGGCTGATATGAGAGTATGATCTGGCTGAAATGGAATAGGCTATTTAGTCTTTGCATATTGCAGAGTTATCTTCTCTTGTGAGCAGGGATTGATTGTTACGTCACTGGTTTGTGTGAGAAAATTATGTCGTTTTCTCAAAAATTGATGACGTTACTCTCACAAACAAATGACGTAACAATCAATACCTGCTCACAAGAGAAGATAACTCTGCTATACGAAAAGAAGGAATATCTCATGAGCTAAACTATAATCACATTTTACCTTAAATAAAACAAAAACAATTGAACAGCAGAAACATATGGATAAGCAGTGTGTTGTACATTACCAGTTTGAGGTGTGATTTTTCTGAAAAGTGTTGAACCGGAAGTTAAACGAAACTTGCGTGTGTCGGGCAGATTTATGGAACATCCATATGCTGGAAGGGTATGGAGTGTACAGGGCAGTTATGGGTTGGTCCAGGATATGGCCTATGCACAACAATGCACATTATCACACACGCAAAACAACCCATATCACCGACAGACATGTAATACATACCAGTAAGGCAGCATGTGTTGGCGGTAGAAGGCACTGGTGAGTAGAGGCAGGTCAGAATCCTTTACAGACGCCTTAATAGCACACTTAAAGCATCTGTCTAGCAAAGCATCTACCTCATCTGTCCCAGACCCTGCAATAAGTGATGAAAATGTCACAACAGGATTTGTTTATCACAAAACATTGTAGGAATGCATGATAAAGTACTCATCTGTCAATCACCTAAAGTCAACACATTCACACCTTTAACAACAGATGTAGATTAAGGAGTGTACAAATTAAAATTGTGTAAACTTATCTAAATTGTGTGATTCTATTGATAAACAATCAAGTCTTTGATAGTAACTGAGTAAAGAATGATATGCAGTCAGAGTGTTTTGATGGATGATTTTTAATTAAAACGAAATTATAAATAAAAAAGAAATAGTATATATATTGAATTGCCAAAAATTTAAAAATAAATGTGACAGCTATCATATAAAACATCAGTATGTGAAATGACCCTGTACACAGAAGTGAGGTAACTTACCAACAGATGCAGAAACGTCTGGATCCCCAGCTTTAGCACTTTCAGCATTATCTCCATGGTTACCACCTGTAGCACCTTTAATATTGTCACCATGGTTACCAACCTGATTATTAGTCAATGAGGATCTGTTCACATCATCCTCTACACACAAAGATCTAACATGGTTACTCATCTCTCTATCTGTTCCGTCCCCAGCGGCACAATCATTCCCTGCCCCACCCCCTTCTTCAGCAAATGAGTCTATGTCTTTTACAGCAGCTGCATCTGGAATTAGTGGAGGCTGAGACTGGTCTCCATATGCCCTGTCATGAGGTATTTAGAGAATATATATTATATACTGATTTTTCATTTACTTGTTACCCAGCTTCTTTTCAATCCCAGTTGATTGAAATAATTGTTACTAATAGCAGGAAAGTATGTTGTTTTTTGACATGGGATTCATCTATTTTTAAACTGAATCCTTTTCGATTCTAGATCTCTGACATTTCAAAAATAAGCAAAATCAGTCATATTGGTTCTGTCAATTTGTTGAATTTTACAGAAATATCAGTCTTCAAGATAAAGTTAAGATAGCATTTACAACATCAATAGAAAATCTGTCTGAAGATAAATGTTATCTTTCATCTTTCAAATTTATCAGCCTATTTGAGATTTTCGAAATACAAATCACATCAACACTGACTATAGCGAAATGCTAAGCTTGTTTAGAACAAAAATAGTAGTAATAATATAATGATAATTTGAGGCTCTTGTATATCCCTATATCACAACCTAGTTTGTAGGTTGTCACAAAGCAGTTCATAAATAGTAACAGATTTACACTTACCATAGCTCATCCCCAAGCATGTGTATGAAGTGCACTCCCTTTCCTCGCATCCCCGAGTCAAACATGTCTGACCCAGAGAGTGCCGTCTTTCCTACAGCAACTGGTGCACTTAAAAAAAAAGATGAAAATTTATATGAAATATCTGTCACTAACCAAAAGGCCCAGGGGGCTGAATAACTAGCTCATCTGTATAATAGTAGAATATGATACATTCAAAAGAGAAGAACAAATTAAAGCTGACAACAGGCAGAAATTTAGTAATAAAAGTTTTTAATATATTAATGGATTAATTTATTTACAGATTTCCATTCAGCTTTACTGCACACGTATCCCCTTTGTTGATGTGTTTGAACGTAGCTGGAGTAATCTCCCCTTGTACTATAACTCCAGGCAACATCAGATCTGGGAAAATGGGAAAGTTAAAATGTAAATTATGCACATTTTGTTAGATATGCAAGGGTAAGTTTGTTTGGAACATGAATCATGAAGGTAGAAATATAGGTAAAAGTACATTAATTTTATTATATCGGGGGTAACATACTCTATCATTCTAAGAGGTGGTTTGGTACTCCTTGCTATAGTAATTTGGAATTTATGCTTTAGGCAAACTTTTTCATTAGTAGTAGTCAAAGATGGATTAATTGGTCAATTACCTTATTTGATAAAGTGGTGCTCCATCATTTGATAATGTATAATACCTACAGAATCTGGCAACTGTCCTCAGCCCAGGAGCAATATTAATATCATCTATACTATTACACATAAAGTGTGGCAGGATAGACAGAGGACAGTTTGATACATGGTGCAAAATACAGTAGATAAATTACCGAATTTGTTGCACAAAAAAATAATTCATAAAAACAACGTAAGTAGCTGAAAATTGTTGGATCATTAAAAGTCACTTTTAACATCAATCAAAGTATATGTTCAATTAACTTTCAAAAGTAATATGAAAATCAAATAAATCACAGGTGATTATTACCTGCTCCTCCCAGAAACTTTTTTAACAGTGGTGACCATGTTGTGAAAGTAAACATCATGCATGGAAATTTCCATAGTGTATAAACTGTAGGATAAAGCTGTCGCCCAAATTCCAAAAATGCTGGGTTCTTGTTAAGGCTGTAAAAGACCGCTGTATCACCCGAATGGGTGTAAATCTTTGTCACGGTCATCTCCTCTTTGGCCGGCACAGCTCGCGTCAGATCATCTGCTGTTAAACTGGGAAAACTGGACCCTAAAGAAGCACGCAGCTTTTTCCTATAAAAAAAACATGTAGTATTAAATTTCTATATATTTATAATCAACATGTTGAAAGCAAACAGACATGAGCAAAAGTCACCTGCCAGACCACGTGGGTTTTCTCCGGATACTCTCAGGTTTCCTCCCACACTAAGACCCCCAGTGCGCTAACATCCGGGCCAACAAGGGTGATTAATATAAGTTGACATAACTTGTTTCATAATTTCCCTTGGTTGGTCGCTTAATACATATTCCACTGTATATATATTATCTGTTATCATTTCATCATCAAAATGCCCCCCATGCAAATTTTAAATCTCTTAGTTATCCAAACTCTAGTCACATGTACATGTACAATAGGATTATTACCCACTGTACAAAATGTATTATACAAAAATGTACCTATATCCTATATCAATCTTAAGAATTTGATTAAAGTATTCAACCAAATTGTTGTATCTTATAATTCAGAAAGTTAGCTTCTCTGACTGACATGTTTTATTCTTCAAATAATGGAATTATACATGTATGTAATTTCTTATATTACAATCAATTTACTTGAAAAGGAAGAATTTCCTTTTATATCATATGTCAAACACATTAGATAAAATACATATATATATATCTGTTTACTGACCAAACAATTCTCGATAAATGTTGACATTATTCACTGATGGCAGGCAGAATGTTTGCTTCAATTATCAATAGTAATGTATATTGATGTGATGCTGATAAGTGTGGCTTAAGTGAACAAAATGTATCGCTTTATTTTGGGGAAATTTATATAAATCTTACATACATGTACATTTACTTAGTTCCATAATTTTAACATAAGAGGTTACATTTAATTTTTCTAATCTATTTAGAGACGTATATATTACAGTGTAATATATACGTCTCTGGGCCCGTATTCATGGAACCATTCTCATGCTTAAGCATTGATATTGTGCTCAAGTCTAAATTCTTGTTTCAGTCATAAATCAATGAAAAATGTATATTTTTGTCAATGATTTGGAAGAAATTTGAAGAGACTTAAAGCCGGAAATTGTTTTCAGTGTTTTCATTTGACTTTTTGATTGTTTTACTTGATTTAAAAGAGTTACAAGAAAGCTGGTTTGAGCAGAGTTCAAGCTTGAGCGTCGGAATGGTATCATGAAAGATCTATTTTCCAGCTTTTTCACAAATATTAAAGATACATTTTTTTTTACTTCAGTTTGATATATTAGTTTAAAAATACATGTGTATACTTGATAGGTAATTACAATATTCCATACACGAATTCTGTCACTAGCATACAGTGTCCGTCGAAACTGGTTACCCCACACAGATCATAATATTACCTGTCCGATCCCTTGATTGCTGTCTGTGTTTTAACTCGAAATGGCTTCTGGAACATTTTGAATATACAATCGTCTCTTTTCGTTTGAAATAATATGGATGAGGTGCGTAAGCAGCAGATGTCACACTTTGGGCCTAGGTCTGATTTTACTCGTGCGTCAGACGATTATAAATATACTCCGAATTCAGTCCTGTCCGTCGTTCTGTCAGGAGGTTGTGAAACTTCCGGTTAAAATTTCGCGTGCATTACAAACGTTTTGACGTCTTAATTGGCGCCATGATGGTTTGACGTTTGTTGTTTTTGGGACTCTCATGGATATTCTGCTTAAACACCGGGTAGGTTTTTTTTTGTGGTATGTGTGGTACCATGCTCTATATGAAATTGATTTTTTTTAAAGAGAGAGAAATGATGCAGCCGGAAAGATTCACAATAGTCGTCTGTTGTTCCAGCCGACCAATGACAATGTCATTATAATCTAGAAATTTCTCAGTTGAAGCTTTGCAGTAGGTAGGGAGCATGCACTGTTTTTATCGTTCACTATTTATCAACAATGATGTTTCCGAATTGCTTCCCTTTGAGCGTATATGCCGAAAACGGCTGTGTATCGTATATTGAATCGGATCCTTTTTTTAGGCCTGTAAGCAGTAAGTAACAACAGAAAAAAATCTAGTAGCCCTGGGTTCGATATCTACGTATGGAATACTCATTTATAAACAACATGTGCCAATTGAGATAATGCATTACATTTACACCGTAGGTATACCTCAGCAAAACCAGTTACCAGTCAACACTTGTATGCTAATTAATTAATCCCCTCTATATACTGTCCCTGGTTTTTGCAATAAAGTTTCCACCTCTGTTGAGTAAATTTTTTAACACCTGATCGTGATCAGTGCAAGGTTGTACAGCAAGGATACAGATCTAGATAGGCGAAGCTAGACCTTAACTTAATCATACCACAGACCGAATACTAAGCTGCAAAAACATTTCTTCTGATGACAAGACCATTTTTTTTTATATTAACTGCAAGCTGTGCAGAGGAGGCCAGGTATTGATATTAGTTCTACACAAAGCCTAGCCTTATCTTTCAATACACCTATAATATAAACATATATATATATATGTATGACAGACAGTCAATTAAGGCTGTATATAATATAGTACCTGTAATTATACACTAACACAAGGTACTGTATAAGGTATACATACAATGTACATTGTACCAGACATATGATGAAATAATTTGAGGTTCTTATATACCTCTTTATCACAACCTAATTCGTAGGTCATCTCAAAGCGGTTCACAAATTATTGTAATTATTATTCATGGTTTATAGGGCCTTTGAAACCAGCCATTATCTTTCTCAACTCAATGGAGAACATACAGCCAGTGCTGCCATTTCGTTGCTCACAGAACTGTTAGCATTCAACAATTCTAGCACTTCCCAACCACATACTAATTTACAGCTGAGTAGACTGGAACAAGCAGAGTTAAATATATTGCTCAAATATGTGCTGTGACGTGACTTGAACCCGCAACCCTTTGGGAATGAGCCTGGCATGCATCCTACCAATAGACTTCTTCTTCCCGTTAAGATTCAAATTCCTGATGTGGAATGATGAAGAATCTGTGTGTGCATGACCATATATACTAGGTCAGATAAAAACCACAATGGCACTAGTTACAAGTTAAAACAATCACAATTAATAAGACAACACAGACTGCACAGTAAGGGGAGATAAGCCTGCCCTAAACTGTTCTAAAGATGTGCAGATCCTCAGGTTTTTGGGTAGAAGATTCCATGATGTAACTGCTAGGAAAGAATGAGAATTTGTAGTTATCTGTTTTTGTGGTTATGGGCCTATAAGTATTGATGTTGCATGTCTCGAGAGTCAGACTTTGATGCATATTGATGTAGAGGAATGTCAACAAGGCCATTAAGACCCTTAAAGAACAAAAGGAGCCTGGCTTTAGTGCGTCTTTGTTCAAGCATTTCCCAGCCAAGACTGGTCAGCATGCTAGTCACAACACCAGGTTCCCTAGACTGGTAATCGTTAAACACAAATTGGGCAGCTCGTCGTTAAGTCTGTTCCAATTTGTTGATTAACTAGTGATGGTAGGGATCCCAGATTGGGGCTGCATGCATGTACTCCAGTGATGGCCGAATGATTGCACAATAGACGTTTGCTTTGATTTCAGACTTACACTTCCTTAAGTTACGTCTGTTAAACCCTTTCGACTCATGATTAGCTTTCAAGGTCACATTTGCAATGTGGTCATTCCAGGAGAGGTCGTTACTAATGGTTACGCCCAGGTATTTACTTGACAACACCACCTCTATAGGTTGACCATGGAGCTGGTATGCATATATAGGACATTGGTAACATCTTCCTAGTGACATGTATTGTGAAGCACTTATCAGCATTAAAGGACATCTGCCAGGTCTTCTCCCAATTTTCCAAGGTCATAGGTCATGTTGGAGAATCTGTTGGTCTTGTTGAGTTCTAATAGTATGATGGAGGAGACAATCACCTGCCAATAGCCGGGCAGTGGATGAGATGTCGTTAGGCAAGTCATTAATGAAAATCAAAAATAACAATGGACCGAACACTGTACCTTGAGGTACTCCAGAGTCCACAGGACATGAAGAGGATCGAGTACCATCAAGCACTACTCGTTGTGAACGGTTTGATAGAAAGCCCTGAATCCAATGAAGGCTGTTAGTTTTAATTACATAATATTTGAGTTTTAGCAGTAGGCAATTATGAGGAACTTTGTCGAAGCTTTAGAAAAGTCCAAAAGAATGATGTCTGTCTGTCAGTACCGAAAGATGAGTTTTTTGAAAGTTCCTCAATGGTGATGGCATGAAGTTGTGTTTCACATGAACGATGTTTCCTAAATCCATGTTGATAATTTGTGAGATCTGATGATGGTCTAGGTGACACATGCTGCTGCTGAGAACAATATGCTCCATTATTTTAGAACACACAGCAGTCAAGGAAACTGGGCGCTAGTTGGCTGCCTTACTCCTAGAACACACAGCAGTCAAGGAAACTGGGAGCTAGTTGGCTGCCTTACTCCTAGAACACACAGCAGTCAAGGAAACTTGGTGGTAGTTGGCCGCCTCACTCCTAGAACACACAGCAGTCAAGGAAACTGGGAGCTAGTTGGCTGCCTTACTCCTAGAACACACAGCAGTCAAGGAAACTTGGTGGTAGTTGGCCGCCTTACTCCTAGAACACACAGCAGTCAAGGAAACTGGGCGATAGTTGGCCACCTTATTCCTAGAACACACAGCAGTCAAGGAAACTGGGCGATAGTTGGCCGCCTTATTCCTAGAACACACAGCAGTCAAGGAAACGGGGCGCTAGTTGGCCGCCTTACTCATAGAACACACAGCAGTCAAGGAAACTGTGCGCTAGTTGGCTGCCTTACTCCTAGAAAACACAGCAGTCAAGGAAACTGGGCGCTAGTCGGCTGCCTTACTCCTAGAACACACAGCAGTCCCTTACTCCTAGAACACACATCAGTCAAGGAAACTGGGCGCTAGTTGGCTACCTACTCCTTTCAAAAAAACAGAAACATTTTTTAGAACACACAGCAGTCAAGGAAGCTGGGCGCTAGTTGGCTGCCTTACTCCTTTCAAGAAAACAGAAACACTATTTTAGAACACACAGCAGTCGAGGAAACTGGGCGCTAGTTGGCTGCCTTACTCCTTTCAAAAATACAGAAACATTATTCACTGTCTTTCAGTCATCCGGGCGATAGTTGGCCGCCTTACTCCTAGAACACACAGCAGTCACTTACTCCTAGAACACACAGCAGTCAAGGAAAGTGGGCGCTAGTTGGCTGCCTTACTCCTTTCAAGAAAACAGAAACACTATTTTAGAACACACAGCAGTCGAGGAAACTGGGCGCTAGTTGGCTGCCTACTCCTTTCAAAAAAACAGAAACATTATTTCAGAACACACAGCAGTCAAGGAAACTGGGTTCTAGTTGGCTGCCTTACTCCTAGAACACAGCAGTCAAGGAAACTTGGTGGTAGTTGGTCGCCTTACTCCTAGAACACACAGCAGTCCCTTACTCCTAGAACACACAGCAGTCACTTACTCCTAGAACACACAGCAGTCAAGGAAACTGGGCGTTAGTTGGCTGCCTTACTCATAGAACACACAGCAGTCAAGGAAACTGTGCGCTAGTTGGCTGCCTTACTCCTAGAACCCACAGCAGTCAAGGAAACTGGGCGATAGTTTGCCACCTTATTCCTAGAACACACAGCAGTCAAGGAAAGTGGGCGCTAGTTGGCTGCCTTACTCCTAGAACACACAGCAGGCAAGGAAACTGGGCGCTAGTTGGCCGCCTTACTCCTAGAACACACAGCGGTCAAGGAAACTGGGCGCTAGTTGGCTACCTACTCCTTTCAAAAAAACAGAAACATTTTTTAGAACACACAGCAGTCGAGGAAACTGGGCGCTAGTTGGCTGCCTTCCTCCTTTCAAAAAAACAGAGAAACATTATTCACTGTCTTTCAGTCATCTGGGCGATAGTTGGCCGCCTTACTCCTAGAACACACAGCGGTCAAGGAAACTGGGCGCTAGTTGGCTACCTACTCCTTTCAAAAAAACAGAAACATTATTTCAGAACACACAGCAGTCAAGGAAACTGGGTGCTAGTTGGCTGCCTTACTCCTAGAACCCACAGCAGTCAAGGAAACTGGGCGATAGCTGGCCGCCTTACTCCTAGAACACACAGCGGTCAAGGAAACTGGGCGCTAGTTGGCTACCTACTCCTTTCAAAAAAACAGAAACATTATTTTAGAACTCACAGCAGTCAAGGAAACTGGGCGGTAGTTGGCTGCCTTACTCCTTTCAAAAAAACGGAAACATTATACACAGCAGTCAAGGAAACTGGGCGATAGTTTGCCACCTTATTCCTAGAACACACAGCAGTCAAGGAAACTGGGCGATAGTTTGCCACCTTATTCCTAGAACACACAGCAGTCAAGGAAAGTGGGCGCTAGTTGGCTGCCTTACTCCTAGAACACACAGCAGTCCCTTACTCCTAGAACACACAGCAGTCACTTACTCCTAGAACACACAGCAGTCAATGAAACTGGGCGCTAGTTGGCTGCCTTACTCTGATAATTTGTGAGATCTGATGATGGTCTAGGTGACACATGCTGCTGCTGAGAACAATATGCTCCATTATTTTAGAACACACAGCAGTCAAGGAAACTGGGCGATAGTTTGCCACCTTATTCCTAGAACACACAGCAGTCAAGGAAACGGGGCGCTAGTTGGCCGCCTTACTCATAGAACACACAGCAGTCAAGGA